GTCCTGCGTCACCGCTCGGCATCTTCGCGGCGGCCGGGCTATTTTTCGCTCGCTTCCTCCTGAGACTCTTCAATCTGATAATCTCCTAATCTCCAGCTCCTGGCAATTCATCTGCGGTTGTCTTTGCTTTATACCTGGTTTACGTCTCGGGGAGTAGCCTTCAAAATAGCTCCTGACCTTGTTGGCTAATGCACGTTAAGAAATTGGCCTGCGTAGCTACAGGAGCCTTCTTATTCCCCAAATTCTTGTTATTCCCTCTGCTAGGGAGAGACATCCCTGTTCCAAGCCACTGCTCATGCGTCGGTTTCTTGTACAGCATCATCCTGATTTACGCCCATTTTCACTCCCAGATTTTGAGTCCTTTCTTACCCCAGGTGCACTCTACTTTCCTTCACGGGCTATTAAAGCCTTAAAATAGGAGCTGCCCGATCTGAGCTCAGACGCTGCGATGAGCACGGCAGAAATAATACCTGTCGTGTCTGTGAGAGGGGACACGTGTGTCCTCCTGATGGCAGGGACGGAGAAGGGATCTTGGAAGGAGCACGACGAGGCGTGCTAACCCTCTTGCTCCCATGACCTCCTCTTGGTCCAATGCTGCTGGGGAGGGGACAGCAGAGGGCTACAAAGATGATGAGGGGCCTGGAGCATCTCCCTTATGAGGAGAGGCTGAGAGACTTGGGTTTTTTTAGTCTAGAGAAGACTTAGGGTGGAAACTGATCAATGCTTTATAAATGCTTAAAGGGTGGGTGTCAAGAGGATGGGGCTGGTCTTTTTTCAGTGGTGCCCAGGGATTGGACAAGAGGAGATGGGCACAAACTTGAATAAAATAAGTTCCACCTAAACATGAGGAGGAACTTCTTTACTTTGAGGGTGGCAGAGCCCTGGAAGAGGCTGCCCAGGGAGGTGGTGGAGTCTCCTTTTTCTGGAGACATTCCAAACCCATCTGGACATGTTCCTGTGCAACCTGCTCTGGGTGGACCTGCTTTGGTGGGGGGGGGTTGGACTAGATGATCTCCAGAGGTCCCTTCCAACCCCATGTGATTCTGTGAAACGTGCCCGGTGGGGTGATTGCAGAGGAAATCGGAAAATATAGGATCAACTTTTAGCTTTCTCTGAGGAGGATCAAACACATAATCTTCTCCATTGGATAACCGAAATTACAGGGAGAGGGCAGGAGGAGAAAGTCCCTTCATTAGCTTTCTTCTTGTATTATCTAGCCTTGTATTCTCCCTCACCTTTTGTGCACCTTGCTAACAGCAGTTTGCTAAAATATATGGCTGGAACCACGCACCAGGGTTCACAGCATACCCTTGCTCACCAGAGAACAGGTGGTGCCTGCTGTCATTGCCCAGGCTGTTTTCCTGGTTTCTTCTGCAATCTCTGTTGTTCTCGGGAGGGGAGGAAGGTTTCCTGGATGAGAACTGGTGCTTCCCTGGGTTGGACAGCAGAGGTTCCACCTCAGAACTGTAAAACAGGGAATGAGCATCCATGGGTTCTGATGGCAAAGCTGGAGACCTGGGCTGCCCAGGGAAGTGGTTGAGGCACCATCCCTGGAGCTTTTTAAAGGATGAGTAGACATAGTGCTCAGTGACGTGGTTGAGTGATGATTTTTGTCAGAGTTAGGTTGACGGTTGGACTAGATGATCTGAAAGGTCCCTTCCAACCTAGACAATTCTATGATTCAATTCTATGACCTCTTAACGAATGCCTTGCTGCAGATTGCTGTTTGGGTTTTTGGTGGTTGGTTTTTTTAAAGCACTTTTTCACACAAAGGGAACAGGAGAATTCATGAAGGGATCTTTTGTGTCTGGCTTGGGAAGTCCACCACCTCTGCTGCATCCTGAGACCACCACAGTGTTGCTAGTTGTGCTTCCAGACTCTTCAAAACCTGCCAAGGTCTTAAGGCAGAAAATATCTCTAGTAGTGAGGTGTTGCAGATCTCTGGGCATGATACAGAGATTGTGGGAAAGAAACTGCAGAGGCACCAGCAGAAGCAGTGACGTGTGAGTGGGAAGGAGCTGCTAACGCCAGGCTTGGGCCAGTTGCAAGAGTTTGCTCTTTGCTTTGAGAATAATTTCAGCCCAGTTGGTTAATTCCTTCCAGGAGGAGTTTGGGTTTGGGATATGGCATTTCACTGGGTTTTAGGAAGGAGTAGGCAGCGCTCCTATTTTGTGACTTGTTTTTGCACCACTTAATGTGGGTATTTCAGGACAAAAGCCCATCTGTTGGGTTTCCTGCCATGGTGCTGATGCATTCATCCCTTGTTCAGAATGTTCTCCCTGTCAGCCCTGAATCAGGTGTGCACTGAGGGCTTGCTCAGAGAGATATTGTGATTACTTGGTTATTGATGGAAAATAATGCAACCTGCTTCAGGGGAAGTGGAAGAAATGAGAAAATGTTCTGTCCTGAGGGACCAAAACTCCCTTTTCTTGTAATGATCCACTTCACTCGGTGGAGGTTTGAGCTGCCTTATGTCTAACTAAAATAGACATGGATGCTGCCTCCATTCCCCAAATTGTGGTGACGGTGAATTAGGGTAATGAAAGCAGATGATACATCTAAGTGCGTCACGGAAGTGTGGGCAACTGGGCCCTACAGTAATTTAAAAATAAGTATGTATGGGATGAGATTAGCAAATTTGACAGTGCTCAGCTAAGCACAAGTAGCTGCCAATTGCAAGCAGCTCGTTCCCAATAAGACCTGCCAGTGTAGCGCTGGGCTTCTCTTATGTACAGGGGGAAAAAAACAGCGTGTGATTGATTTTTGAACAGGAATCACAGCAAGCAAATTTAATACAGACTGAGATATAGATGTATACACCCCTCTTTCTCTTTTTTTTTTTTCCTGCTAGGAGACTGGGCACTGCCAGAGGAGGAAAAAACACTTGGTTGCAGTACTCTGGCAGCTAATCTTCCCGGATGTCATCCAGATAGATGCTGGCATGTTGATTTAAAAAAAAAAAAAAAAAAAACAAAAAAGGTTTAAAATATTTTCAGTGCAAAAAGAGTTGGAAAATGTAGTGGAGGGGTGCAAACATCAATGAACAGGAGCCTGGTGGGGATTCTGCCCGGGGTTTACTCCTCTTGGGTGGCTCTGCTTGGCTCTCCTCTCCTCCAGATGAGTCATGGACACTGTTACTGCAGCAACGCTGCTGCCAAGGAGGGGGATAAAGCTGTTGCCATGGTGCTGGATGGGCAGGAATTCTGCAGGAGGAAAAACACTTAATAATTAACTTGCAGACAAACGGCGGCTTCAGACTTTGCCAGCGTGCTCTAGGGAAGGTGTCCCGGGCTCCCAGGCGACCGCCAGCCTGTTCTGGTACAGCCCTGGCCATCGTGGAGAGCTGCTGGCCCCCAGCGTGGCCGTGGGCATCGGGAGGCGAAGCCGGGACCGTGGGGAGCTGTGCCTGATCCTCTCAATTTGTGTTTTGCCTCCGGGGGCAGGTTGTGGGATGGGTTGAGGATTTGGGCTGGCTGATGTGGCAGAACCAAAAAATGATGGTGTGATTCCAGGACCTGAGGGCTGCTAAACACCAGGGCATAGGGCCAGGGCTTGATTTAAATTTCTGTCCCATTTCTGTTAAAAGACAGAAGGTTTTGTGCAGTTCTCGGGCTATTTTGTCTAACAATAGGCTTGCATTTTCTTGTGGTAGTAAAAAGATGGAGTTTTTGTCTTGTTCTTCCTGATGGCGTGGGCACTGGTGTTAGCTTTCCTTTGTGCTGCCTTGACAGGAAAGGGAAACCTCCCTGCCAAATGCCAGAGATGCTTCCAACACAGTCTTCTCTCTGAACGCCCATTCCTTTGAGTGTTTGCTATGGTGGTGATGATGGAGAGCAGTAAAACTGTCCAGAGAGTACATTTAACACCTCGGTTCCTTCTTCCAGCAAGCGCTCGGACAGTTCGCCAAGTTAAGGAGATTTACAGAGAACAAAAGGCTTCTAGAAAGGTGGAGGTGCTGGAAGTGGGGTCCATGCTTGGGAGCAATCTTCCCCCACCAGCTTTGTCTCTCACTACAGAGGGACCTGATATTTCTGTAATGACAGATCCCAGCACGAGAGCCCGTGCTGTCTGGGAGCTGCAGCGTGGAGCATTTGGGATGTTCTCTTGCTTTTGACTTTTATTGACTCCCCATCTATAGGACCTGCCAACTGCTGCCCATCGACCAGAACCAGGTCCCTGATTTGTTCTGCCTGAGCTGGAGAAGAGGTTGTAACGGGGAGGTGTCACCTCCGAGCGCACAGTAGACCTGTTTTCATACAGTCAATGAATAAGCCATAGGTGGATGGATGTATTTGAATTTTATAAATAGGGAAGCAGACAGAAATAGGTGATTAGCTCAGACTAACAGCAGGAATTACTAGCTGAGAAAGGGCTTAGAATTACAATGTTAAAGTATTACTTTCCCCTTAGAACCTCCAAAACAAACCTCCTACAACATGCAGACGCACGGTTGTTCAAAAGCTAACCTGGCTTGTAATACATCCAACATTGATTTCGGTTTGTCAGGATAATGTAAGTTGTTGGAGCTGCTTTTATGTTCAGGGAAAATGAAGTATCACTATCCTTTCCTCAGAGAGGAGGCTGGTACCCAGGCTGGGATGCCCTCTCAGGACACAGCAAGGCTGAAAACAGAAATAAGGACTTTCTCCCAAAGATACTGACTCTGGTGGAAGCTGGGAAGGGCTCTGTTCCCAGGCTGGCTTCCTAATCCTGGGAAAGGCTTCAACACCATTTTCAGCGCTGAGGAAAAGAAGCCCTCACACGGGACGAGCCTCGGTGGAGAGGAGAGGCCATCCTTTGTCTGCAGAGGGCTGGAGGTAGGGGAGGTGGCACAGGGGAGGACACTCCTGTTCCAGTTAAGTGCAGGCTTAGTGCTGGCAAAGCTGCTTAGCACTCTCATTCTGCCCAGAGGGCAGTTTTTTAAAACAGGAAAAGCCTCTTACACTGAAAAGGCTGGGATTTGGTGGAGGTGCTGACTATTCTCAATACCCTGGGGGGAAATGGATGCAGAAGATGCTGGTACAGGGTTGGGAAAAGGTGATGACCCAGTGCTGGGGGAGAGAAGCCTTTTCCCTGTCCTGTTCTGAGCAGGTCCATGTGGGCATTCAGAACCGGGACTGTCTTCCTAGGCATCAGTTTTGGATTAAACAAAACAGTGGAGATGCATTTGGGCTGCTCTTGCTGCTGGTTGTGACCTCCAAAGAGTAATACCTGGTAATTCTGGGCAGCCTCCATTTAAATTTGCTTTCCTCTGCAGATTATTTGTGCACCCCAGAGGAAAATGTTTACAAGATAGACTTCACCAGGTTCAAAATCCGGGACATGGAATCTGGCACGGTCTTGTTTGAAATCACCAAGCCAGCAGCTTCAGGTGAGTGCACACACACACACACAACACGTTGTTTTCGGGCAGAAACAAATGCTTCCTTTTGCTTTTTCCCACTCCTTTTACTCAACGTATTTCCCCCAAATAGGAGATGCTCTTGACTGCAGGGTCCCAGCTTGCAGCAGAAATACTGCTCAGGTGTCGCCCTGTACCAGCAGAGTGAACAGAACCCATCGCTGCTGTATCTTGTGGTTGCCATCTGTGATGGGAAAGGACAGATGGGTGTTGTAAACAGAAGCAGAGGAGGAGGAGGAGGAGGTCACCATGTGTTCCTTTCTTGGCTGCTCATCAGCGAGAGTCCCCCTGCACATAGTTTAACTGATAGTCTGACATCTTTCACTCAGGAGTCAGGAAAAAGGGTATTCCCAAAAGGGAGAAACTTTGCCAATTGTGCAAATTAGGCAAACTGAAAATCTGCATTTTTATTTTTTTTTCCTCATAGTTTTTGGGTGTTACTTGTAACCACCCAAGTGTCACCCATTACCAGTGGTAATAAAAAGCCAGGGTAACTGTTCTTTTCCTGATGAAGCACTCTTTGCAGTCTTCCCCATCTTTCTGCAGGGGAGAGGAATTTTTCTCCAGTTCAGAGACAGCAAAACAGACACACTTGGGTGAAATGGCTTGTTTGTCGTCACACTGTGATGCTCAATCAGAAGTAGGAGCAGTAGGTCACTTCAGAAGATAGGACAAGTGTAATGATTTTAAACTGCAAGAGGGGAGACTTAGATTAGGTATTAGGAAGAAATTTTTCACTATGAGGGTGGTGAGACACTGGAACAGGTTGCCCTGAGAAGCTGTGGCTGCCCCATCCCTGGAGGTGTTCAAGGCCAGGCTGGATGGGACTTTGAAGAACCTGGTCTAGTGGGAGGTGGTTTGGAACTGGATGATCTTTAAGGTCACTTCCAACCCAAACCTTTCTATGATTGTATAAGAAGAGTATTAAACCAATGGGCCCTCTTGCAACACTCTGTCTCTGAGTGAACAGTAGTGGATGCCTTGGAGAGGATGAAAAGAGGGTAATGGCATCATCAGGCTTTCTCAGAATAGTTTCCCAGCTTACACGACTCAATGAAGTTATGTTTGCAAGTATTTTCACTGGGTTTCTGTTTCTCAGACGACTGTGACGGAGCTTTGCTTTGCGCTTTTCCAGAACGTGAACACAACGACAAGAAGGACATCGACCCCAACGCTGGACGCTTTGTGCGCTACCAGTTCACCCCGGCTTTTCTTAGACTGCGGCAAGTGGGAGCCACGTAAGTAATCGCTACTTTTTCTACTACAGGAAACAACTGAAATCTTAGAAAAATGGGGTCTTGCTTGTTGATCCTGTCAGGAAGGTGATTTAATAGGGATCTTTTGTTATTATATGGATCTTCAGACATCTTAGCTGGATGCCTTCCTTTCTCCATCCTTTTAGGTTGTTTGTTTACCTCAGGAATAAGCAGGGTGTTGAAAAGAATAATGCTAAAAAGGGGCAAAATAAGGTGGACAGACTACCCAGATATTCCAACTCTTTTCTGCTCATTATAGTTTGTTTGTCAGAGGCCCTGCCAGCTGTCAAAGGTGTTTCTGCAGCCTTACACGTTGCATTCCCCCAAAAACCTTAGCCCATAGATGCACATGAAATGGTGACGTCATGTTTGATGGTTTTATGTACCAGAATGATCTTTTACTTGGCTGGTAGTACTGCGTGGTTCCATCAAAAACCACACCAAAATGTGACACCTGAAGTAGCATTTTAGGCCAAAGTTACTGCTACTGTGATAGAGGTGACGGAGTGTATTGTGTCTGTAGTAAAAAAATTAGTAGTGATTTCTATTAACTACACTATTACTACTAACTTATTACAGATTGATCCAGGGTTAAATATCATGCATGGGGACATGCAACTTTCTGGCCCTCCAGAGAGGCGGCTGGTGGCTGCTTGGTCTTTACTGGGGGTTTTAGAAGGACATTGGGTCATGGCGTGGCAGGTTCTTTGTTATCTTTGTTTTTCTAATGGAGAGCTTTGTGCCCATTGCTATTCTGTCAGTAAGTCCATAATACTACAGTTGAGCGTCAGTTACAGTTTCCAGCACAAACCTCTTTGTCTCGGGTGTATAGAAATACTTGGTTTGGATTCGTGTGGGAGGGCACTTTGATAAATCCCTTCAGCAGCAGATGTGTATTTCACAGAACTGATGCACAGTAGCCTTGCTTAAAACAAAACAATAGAGTGTTTTTGAGAGCTTGATGAAAATTCAGCATTTGGTTATGATGCAAAAGAATTAAAATTTGGTGTCCAGAGTGAGGTTGCATGATACCACTTCCTGCTAACCTTAAAGGTATGCACCATTTAGACTTTTGGAAGGAAAATTGAAGTTATGTATCAATTAGCATCCCTTTGGCTGCTATTTGGTTAAAATGGTGAATACCCAACTTTTGATTAGTGCTAAACTAGTGACAGTGTGTTCCTGGCATACTGGCAGTGTACCCTATGTCCCTAATACCCATCTTCCTCCCAAGAGGTCACGCTTCTTGGTAAGAGACACTTGAACATAGTGCTGGCTGAAATTTGTCCCCCTTTACCACTTACAAAGCAGGAACAGAAGAAAGACCTTTTTCTGTAGGTCTGGCTTTTTTTTCGTACCCACCAGAAAAATTAAATAACTTGTATAAAAATCCAATGCATTAAGGAACACAAGCGCCTCTCTGATACAGTTGGATCTTTTCTTCACTGAATATGAGTTTAAGATGGTAAAATTGTCTTGCGTGTCCTTTTTTATTTATTTATTTTTGAGTAAAAAGAATCAAAATACAGTATAATCTATGATTAATAATTCTATGTTGTGTCCCTGTAGGATGCTTTAAGGAAAAGAGGAAATGATAATTCAGTTACTACCATTGCTTTAGATTTTTGGCTTTTTTTCAGACGAGCTCTCCTCTACCTCTCAGGAACGGTTGAAAATCTTACCTAAGGAAGAAAGCTCATTTCTGTCTTGTCCTTCTTTTTCAGGGTGGAATTCACAGTAGGGGACAAACCCATTAATAACTTCCGCATGATTGAGAGGCACTACTTCCGCGATCAGTTGCTGAAGAGTTTTGATTTTGAATTTGGGTTCTGCATCCCCAGCAGTAAAAATACCTGTGAGCACATCTATGAGTTCCCCCAGCTCTCGGAGGATCTCAGTAAGTGCTAGTTAATTACTGGGTTACCACATAGTGATGTTAATCTAAGGTGTTTTGAAGAAGCCCTTCCTTAAGAGCTGTCTGTCAAAAGTGGGCAGGGTAGAACACTTCCAGGGAGTTTTGTATCTGTGTTAATACAGATTTTGTTTTCTAGTAGTGTGTATCTTGTCAACCCACCAGATGGTTGTGTTTTTTGTGGTTTTTTTCTTTTTTTTTATATTCATAAAAGGGAAGCTTCAGTGTCAGGGAGACAAAAAAAAGATAATTGTGTTATAAACCAACAAAAAAACTAGGATTAAAAAGACATCCAATAAATGGATGACTTAAATGTTATGTTCTGTTTGATGTGCTGTATTGATAGCTTGAGAGATTTTAGTTTTTAGTATGAACATAACTTTTATTTTCTCCCCTCTCTCCCAGGATACAAGAGCAGGAGTACTAAATCTGTGTGATATTATATTTTTTACAACGTCTAATCATGTATCCCAGCACTAATATTGCAGTCTGTGGAAAATACAGGGATGTGCTCCTGCTTACTTATTGTCACACAGAACAAATTTCACAGAATCATAGAATGGTTCAGGTTGGAAGGGACATTAAAGAGGTCCCATCCAGTCCCATCCCCTGCCGTGGGCAGGGACACTATCCACTAGACCAGGTTGCTCAAAGCCCTGTCCAACCTGGCCTTGGCTTTTTGGCTTTCCAAATGTCTTCGGAGTTTGCTTTTTTTATCACTTGTTTTTAAAAAACAAGCCTGAAACTCTAGTGGATTATGAAACTCATATTTGGATTATGTTTGAATTCTTTAAAAGACACTGTCAATGAATGTGTTGGGTAGGTGCCTGTTTTGGGTTCTCACTTGAGAGTTCACCACTCTCTGAGTGATGCTACTAAACGTAACTGAATCCAGAGCAGAGCATCGCCTCGGTAGGGTTGCTGTGTAAGATCATTATTTTTAATTTTTTCTTCTTTTTTTTTTTTTTTTTTCCCCCCCCCCCTGCAGTTCGAGAGATGATCCTTCATCCCTACGAGACACAGTCGGACAGTTTCTACTTTGTAGACAACAAGCTCGTGATGCACAACAAGGCAGATTATTCCTACAGCGGAGGACCTTGAGCACAGGCTGGACAGCCAACCTGCGCTGGCCTTCCCTTTCCCACCCAAGCCGTCAGGGATACCAGCACCTTCTGTTCAGTTGCCCACAGCGTCAACTGGACAAGGATCCACAAACCAAGGACTCTTTGCCACAGTAGGAGTTTCATGACTAAATTTGCCAGTCTCGTCTCTTTTTTGAGCTTTGAAGCAGGCCCGGTTCTTCGGAACTTTGAGCGGTTCCACAACGGTAAATGGTCTTTGGATACCACTTCCCTAAGTTCTTTAAGAGTCTGCTTTGAAAATGGCCTTGTGGGACCTTGGGAGATTTGGCCCCAATTCTGTGGATTTGTGTTCTTGCCCTCAAGTATCTTTTAGGACGTGACCATGGAAGCTGATGGATGCAAATGCAGAGATTTTGTTTGTTTGTTTCCCTTTGCGGATGCTTCCAAGGCATGACCAATTTAACCTGTACATCCCGTTGAAAATGTCGAGCATAACATCTTACAATAGCAAGTTTCATCTTTAGATCAGTTCTCCAAATAAGTATCTCATCCTTTAGTGTTGTTCCTTCTACGTAATACCCTGTTTAATTGTGGAAACACTGAAACTTGTGGCGAAGGCAGTAATTCAGTGACAGAGCTGTTTTTAGTCGGGTACCGTCCTTTTACATTTCAGATGAAGGCAAAATAGCACTGAGGGTCCATGAGCCTCCATCAGCATTTTCCGTTAATTTCAATTTTTGCAAACTGATTGCAGAATAATCAGGAAAAATTGAAGGATTTTAGCTTTATTTAATACTTTCACATAGCTAATATTCAGCCTATTCATGCTATATGTTTTCTGTGTCTATTTTATTTCATCTCTGCTTAATACTGAGATAAGGGCTTCAGCACCGCTTGTTAGAGCGACACTTTCTTTTGTCTAGGGCAGTTGGAGAGCGTGGGATTTCCAATTTTCCACTTGCATCTGAATTTGAAGAATGTTATGACAGTGTTTTCCCTTTGTTAAAAATATTTCGCATCGGATATTAATACAGGTGGAAGAGTAAGTCTAATAATGTGGGACTTGAAGTCACAGCAAAAATTTAGCAAAAGCTCTCTCTTTAGCAAAAGCCTGTAAGAAGTTTAAGACCAATTTTGCCCAAGTTCCTCAGTGTTTGCTGCTTAGAAGGATAGATGGGCAGAGAAGCAGCAGCCTCAAAAGAGCAGAAATTAATGTATGCAAAACAAAGCCTGAGAAGGGGTGGCCTGTTGTCATGAAACCCTTACTCTAAAGGTCAGTTCACTGATACTTTAAAAAACATAAAAGGCAGTTGCGGTTTGTAGATATTTCTATAAATACTTGATGTCTCCATGTCTAATTCTGTGAGTTTAAGTGGAACATTATATGTTAGCCTCAGATAGGTGTGATTGTAATACTTTTTATAAAATCCCATGTCCCGTCGTGATTAACATCTTCCTAGTCACAGCCTGAGTCAAACAGAACTACAAATGGTTCCAACCGTAGCCGTCTGCCTGAGAACAGGGAGGGTTTTGTGCTTTTCTTGGGGTTGTGATCGCTATTAAATGTGTTACCATTTGTACTTGGCTTGGCTTGCTCTACTTCCGAAAGAGGATTCAGTTTTCTAAGGAAAATGCAGTGAGTTTAGGTTACAGCACAGAATTTTTTTTATTAAGATTGATAGCTAAGAAAGTACCTAAAGTTCACTGGTTTTACACAACTAGTATCTTGTAGTAATTATTATCACAACGAGACTTGTATTTTTCACTGTTTTTTGTCTCTAGTGTATTAAATCATACAATTAGCCCACGGCTGAACTACCTGTTCCAGAGTTACAATGAATTTCCTCATTATCTGTCCGATGCTTTGAGCTACTGATCATGAAGTTTTATAGCACAATAATTACTAAAGGTGGAAATAGTTTCCAAAAGTCTAGGTCTGGCCTCTGTGTCCCCCCCCTCCCTTCTTTTTTTTTTTCATCAGAGCTGTTAAACCATCTATATATTCAGTGACATTTTGCAAGTTTAAGTATTTATGAATTTTGTTGCTTCTCTTGAAGGAGAAAATACACCGATTTGAAGGCAGAAGAGTGTGTGTATTTATCACTAGCACCTTATACAGGGATTTTTTTTTTTTTTTTGAGTATTTTTAAACTCTCACCTGCTGTTTATAATAATGATTTCTGTGCATAAGATTTTTAAAAGACTTCTAGCCGTGGTGCTTGCCCAGGATTGTCAGTAGCACATTCCAAACAGAAATACACATCTGGGTATGTTGTGGTGGGACCGGTTGTACTTCGGTATGGAATTTTGTCCATCTTGAGTCGTGGGACTGAGTTTCCCCTCCATTTATCATATCATTGTCTGCTGAGCTGACATAGTCATGTTCTGCTCATTTATTTATTTTTTTCTTTAATGCTACCTCCTTTTAAGAGTTTGGACTGCAAAACCAAAAGTATTTCCATAAAAATATTACTGTAATCAATGCAAATTGAGTGGAAGACGTGCCCATTTAAAAGAGAACCTTGAGAAAGTGACCTTGTTCCCAACAGTGGGGTGTGTTGTTGAGTGGACTTTCTGACACTCTGCATTTTGTGGCAGTTTTGAGGTTAAGCGTAAGAGGACAAACTATCCCCTCCTGATCTCTTGAATTCTAACTGTTCTGATAATTTGGGTTCTATGGGTAATCACTTCAGCTGACAGAAAACTTACTGTGAATCATAGAGGAGATAGTTTATTGATTGAATTTGTTGTCTTCTGTTATTAGGAATACTTTAAAACAGAAAGAAAAAAAAATTGACGTTTTCAACAAAATAAGTGTCAAGATATTTTAGCTTTAGCTTATCAGTTTGAGGATTATTTTTTTTTTTTAGATGTCCCCACAGTTTTGCCACAAATAACAAAATAGTTCTTGTATGTTGTTCTTTGCTCCCATTTAAAAAAACCCTCATTTTAATTAGCACTACAGCTCTGTTTTAATGAGCCAGTCTGGAAATTTGTGATCTGACTTTCTGAAAGTGAAAGAAAATACCTAAGAGCTAACCAAGATTATCTGCTAATAATGACCAGCTGTTTCCCATCATAAGACAGGATTATCTGTGTGCTTTACAGGGTGAATTAAGCTTGGAAAAAGAAACTAAGTCTCTGTGAGTGCTAATAGTGACATAATTTTTATGAGATTCAAGGAAATTATAACTCAACACATTCTTTCACTTATTTGGTCTTGTATTCCTTTAAACTTAACTTTTTTTTTAAAGAAAAACAACAGTAATGCATTTGTGGCTGTCATGCTGCATAATAATTCATGGGCTTTGGTGGCAGAAAGAGACTAACTTATTTTTGAAATTAACATATCAAGGATAAGAATGGTTTAAATTCTAGAAACTTTGTTCTCAGATCAGTGAAAAAAGCTAAAATTGTTTCTGTGAATGTGTCCTTTATGTGGGGACATTTATGAAATAACCGAATAATCCACTCTGCTGACTCGGAAGAATTTTTTTATTTTTATGTAGGAGGTCAGCACAAGGTTTGAAAGCAACGTGTTGGGGTTTAGTTCTTGCTCATCATCTCTCTCTATGGCTCATTTTTGAGCAGGTCCATCATGCAGCTCTGTTTGCCACTGCTGCCAAGTTCCAAACTCCTTCAATTTGAGCAAAAGGACTATTAAAGTTCATTGAGAAATAGTGCTACATGTTGACCTGTAAAAAAACTAAATTCCAATCTTCGTGACAAAAATTAAAGGGGACTCCTGTTCGTGCAAAGATTATTTGGGGGCTATTTGAGGGAAGAAATGCTAATATCCAACTCTCCTACTTGGTAAGTATTATAAAAATGTTATATTAACTATTCATAACCTGGAGAAAATATGCTTAACAGCTCAATTTTAATGAGATCTGGTTAGGAATGAAACTATAGAGATTATTGCTGTCCCTTATTGGGTGTGCGTTGGGGGGAGAGCAACTGGAACATTGCACGAAAGCCAGACAGGTTTGGAGGCAGTGACTCTAGTGGTACAAATTATCTTGGGGAAAAAATGAGGGAGAGGGACAAGGACAGGAAAAGAGTTAATTTCAGCTAATTGGAACCAAGAACTTTAAGTGAATGCTTTTTTCTCTTGCTTTTGAGGTAGCTGGCACCTTCTGTTCACAGCTCTTTCCTATTCCCCCCAGCACAAGCACTACCTAAGTTTGTACAACTGCTCCGATATTAGTCAGATACTAAATCTCAGTGACAGCTCCTATCACTTTCTGAACTTGGAAATGTGTTAGAGGAGCAGTGATGCAGCTCAGCTGTTTCCTAAACCACAGGACAGGCTGACCGAGCGGGTGACGTTGTGTGTCTGTGTCCCTGTCCCCAGGCTGTAGCTAATGCCTCCCTGGGATCACTGTCAATGCCTGCTGCCACCTCTGCTTCTGTCTTAACTGGCACTGAGAAAACCTGTTTGAATGTGACATTGACTTTTTTTTTTTTTTTTTTTTTTTTGGTTAAAATCAAGTGTTTTATGAAGTTGTTCAGAGCTTCCCTCACGTGGAAGGCAATGTGCTAGTGGATTCACATGTAAGCAGCCACAGGTGGAGAAGACACTCAGAGTCTCTCAAATCAGTTGACACCAACAGAGCCAGCATGGGGCAGGATTCTGCTGAGCCAGGGGGTTTCACAGACCTGCTGCTTGAAGAGGGACATGACAACACCACACAGATTGAGGTAGAAATTGATTTTATTTATTCTTTTATTCAATTTGTTATCTTTGATTTTGGACAAGTAAAAAAGATGAAGACATTTACTTCAGTGTATTGAAACATTGATGGGGAAGAGAACCTTGTGGTCTTTGTATCTGGGACCCTGTCAGCACTTGGAAGTCAGCTCTTTCTCTTGTTCTGGGGCTGGAGCCCATCCTGTCTGACTTTTGAAGACAGTCTTTTGAGGATGTTTGCCTCTCTGCTGGAAAACAGTAATAACCTTTTTTTATTTTGTATTGTTTTTTTTTTTTTTTTTTTTTTTTTTTGGCATAGAATCAGAATTGTCTGTATTAAAATGTATTTATAAAAAAAAATATATATATTTTTTGTGGAAGGAAAGTAGGATTCTAGTTACTATACCATTGGGGAAATGTTAGAGACATTTTTACCAAGTTCATTTCTAATTCTTTGTATCTTGTTAGTTACCTGGTTTGTTTCCTCTAAGAACATCCACTGTGGCCCGTTTAGTGGCACCGCGATGCACTGTCATGCAGAGAATCTGGTTTTCAGAAAACTGGGAGTCTTTTCTTTCCTTTTGGGACGGTAGGAAACCGAGTAGGATGCCAGAAGGAAAAAGAACCTTGGCACCGAATCCGCTTCCGTGGCTTTGGCTTCAGCAACCGGTCTCTTGGACTTGTTTGCAGAGAGATAAGTAGCGAGAGCAAAGATTGAGACTTCAGGATAAAGAAAATTAGATGCTACAATTTAGTCTTCCTGTAGGAGAAGGAGAGCAACTAAAATTAATTCATACAAGGATTAAATAGGGAGTACACTTGCTTAGAATTATTTAATATTGGCAGCTTAGTTGTAAGTGTGCATAGTAGGAAATAACGCTTAACTTTTTCCATTACCTCGGAAAATGGTTAAAAAAACATGTCACTTTCATTAGCAAGTGTTTCTTCTCCTGTAACAAATTGCAAAATGTAAAAAAAAAAAAAACCAACAACCTAAATAAATTATTGATCCTAGAAACGAGGGTGATTGTCTATTTTATTTAAATATTTATATCAGCACATGAAAAGCATTCAGATTTTCATTTCAGATGTCTTCCATCAATATTTGAACACCAGCTTTGCACAGATTTATGTAAGTAGCTTCACTTTCTGATGATTATAAATGAAGTGATGCGTGTGTGAAAACCCTGCAGTGGTTTGTGTAGTTCGGTGAGTAAAGTGGTTACAAGAGAAGTGTTTAAATTGGATTCAGCTTTCTGATTGGTGAGACTATCTGGAGGCATAATTAAAATAAATTATTTTCAAAGCACATTAACAGAACTTAGGAGTTCTGCAGATCACAGTTAGGTACCAGGTTCTGCTTTTGGAAAATCTGCCGGCTGCACCGTGGAGAATCAATTTCTGAAATTAATGAGCCACCTGCGATCGCTGTCTCTGCCATATTGACTAAGGGGAAACATCTGCTCAGGCTGCAGTGGGTGCCGTTGGGGTAATTCCATCTTGATGGTTTTGTTGTTATTGTCAAAAATTCCTGGGGATATCTCTGCGTTTCTCTGTGAAGCAGAACAACGTAGAATGTTTTTGTTTTATTTTAAAACTCCCTTTGAATCCTCAGAACTACTGGGGATGACACGGTATCCAGCACGACAACTGGAACTTGCAGAAGATTGCTTATTAATACAAGTATTAAGTATTCTTATTAATTCAAGGCTTTAACCTTTGGACTATGGCTTGGAGCTGTGTGAAATGCCCACGGTGAGCTCTGCTGTGAGGTGCTGACCCGAGCACAGGTTTGTACCGAGACCTTCGTTTGCTCCTCTGGGATCTGCAGTGAAGATGATAAACTCGGGGTTGGCCATCAGTTCTCTCACACGTTCTTCTAAATCAGGGGATGGTTTCTGGTTTTGCCTGTACAGGTTCTCTGTGGTTAGATGTTCTCTCCCGATTCAGCTTCCTCTTGGAATTACCCGAGCAACTGGAAGCATCAGGTCTATTTTCTTATTATTCTTGAAAGGACCAAATGCTAATTTCACTGAATACTTAACGAGAACAGGTAGCAAAATCAGTACTAATAACTCTAATAATGCAGGTTGAACAGTGTCTCTGATTTTGATGCTGAAGTGTAATTACCTGGACTGGTTCAAAAAATTCTGAGGTTGAAGAGAACCTTTAAAAAATAAGTAAATTTTATTTAAGTGAGAATTCCCAGAGTTAAATGTCTGCCAAAAATACACTGTGTTACCAATACTTTTTCTTTTTTTTTTTTCCTTAGCTTGTATGTCAATCTCATTTATTAATAAATATGCCTAATCATCCTGGAGATGTTCTGTACCTCTCCTCAGATTCTTATTTCTTAGGGCATTTGTCAGCTGCTTAACTGTTGTGTTAACTCTTACGTGCTCACACCATGCTTCTAATCCTTTTGTCACTGTTCAAGGGCATTCATCTATCTGGGACTTGCATTCCCTTAATATTTCTTAACTGTAATAATAACAATTCCCAGTGATGTACTGTTAAAAGTTTCCCAATGTATGCCTTTAAGACAATGTATCTTATTTTTAAAGAAAATGTTAGAGTTTACAGAAGTTTATAATTGCATAGGATAAAACAAACATATTTATTCTACCTACTTAAGTCCACAAAAAAAAGTAATTACTTTACAGAAAGATTATTTTTTTTTTCCTTAACCAGTGCTGTGCAAGAACTTTAAAATAGGAGGTGAAATCATGCTGGACAATGCATTTTAATTAAAACTACAAAGAGAATTTAGGTAGGTAGAGCAAAATTGCAGTTGGATGATTCCCAGCCATTATTTTGACAACTGACATGGGACCTTAAATAACAGAGGCCTGTTTTATTTAATAATAATTTAATTTTTCTAGTAGAGGGCGTAAACCATGTTAATGAAGCTTGCAGATGAAAGTAATTTGTAGCAAGAAATAAAAACAGGCTGGGAAGTTACAAACAGCAATAGAGAAAACCCATAATGAAATTTACTTTACGAAAGGAAGTTAACACAGATGGGAGAGGAGACTTCTAAGCACTTTCGGATTTTCCTGTCCTGCCGAGTGACAGAATGAATCAGAAGAGGGGAATAGCAAACTGGATATTTTGTAATCTTTGTAGTTTATAAAGAGTAAAAAATTATTCTAGATGATGAATTATTGCACTATGCCCATTTTACTGTATTTACCAGAACAGTTATGCACACGGTTCTGCTTCTTGCGCTGTAGAAGTGTGTGTAGCTTCTGTTTTTTCAAGACAGGCAAGACAAAAACTGGAGTAGCAACGCTTGGGCAAAGGAAATTGTCTGGCAGTTATAGGTAAAGCTTCCAGTAAAATATCAAACTGGTCCATTTATGTATCCCTTGCTAGTCCTGTGTAGGCTGTCGTGGGGATTTCCTCGCACACACAGTCACAGAAACAGGCGTAGGAAGCATCCTTTGAGCACGGGAAGGCAGACCCTGTGTCAGCTACTAAAGGTGCTACGTGCACCAGGCCTGAAAGACAGAAATATCTAGAACCTATTTTAGTAAAAAAAACCCAAACCACCCACCAAAACTCAAACCCAAACAATTTTCTTTATGGGTGATGCTGTGAAAGGTACTGCATACCACAGTTAGGCAAATGTTACTCTGTTTACTGGCATTCAACTAGTTTTGAAAATCATGTTTTTATTTCCCAAATGCATACCTTACCACTCTTCCATGTAATTAAGTGTCTAATTAAACCTGCTGCCTGCTTTGATGTCTGCACGGTTTCATAAGTCAGGAGAACAGAGGGTACACGTTGTCCCCTAAAATTAAAGCGTGCACGGAGACCTGATTATGAGTTCAGAGGAAATGAAGCTTTCTGCCCCAGACACGCCGAGATGTCGTGTACCTTTGGAAGTGGTTCCCCCACTGGAGTTCATCAGCTGGCATTTGTCATCACCTAAATTTGAAATAACAGTCCAGAAGTGTTGTTTGCGGCTGCCAAATCGATGTGTACACTTCCTGTGGCTGTCTGGCAAGAGACACTGGCAGGAAACACAGGCACAAGTGCCACTGCTTAGATAACTTTAAAGACTATTATTTCAGCTAATGTTTAAATTTCTTTAAGATATGTTAAAAGGAGAAAGGTAATTTCCAGCAAAAGCTTGCACTAAAAGCGTTGCAGTTTATCTCCTTAGATTAACTGGATATTTGGTACAAAACATTTTTCTGTAGGTTTGGGGTTTGGTTTGGGTGTTTTTTGATGTTCTAAAGTCACGGAGTTTAAGGTAAGTTTAATAAATGCCTGAAGTAATTGTTTAAGCCTGGTGCCTCAGACAGGCACAAACATGCTGGGCTTATTCATGTGGTTGAAATTCAGATTCGTCAGTAGCTGCCTGATGAGTGAGATCTTAAATTCTTTGCTCATCCAGATCGTGTAATCTCCCTCCTCTGGTGTTTTTTGTTACTGGTTCCCTTCGACCTGAGAGCCTGGTGCGTGGCCGCTCGCAGCCGCTCGCTCGAAGAGCACGAATCTGGAGAGGAGACCAAAGCCAGGACGAGACCCAGAGCCACACCTGCCTTATTTTTTATTTTTATTTTTTAGCTTTATTACTCATCCCGAGCCCTTCACCTTGACTTTCAGCGCACGAAAAGCGCTTTTCCCAGGACCACAAGGTGGCTTTACTCACCTTTTCTGTGCCCAGGTCCAAAAATCCATAGATTGAGAGTAGGAAGTCTTCCGTTCATCTGAACAGCACAATGTTTCAGTGCTTTGTTACCCAGATGGCAGAACTAGGGAGGTTTGATGGC